ACGTAACACTGCAGTTTCTAATTTTATCTTCAATATCAAAAATTGTTTGAACGTCAATATTTCCATAAAAAAAAATCGGCTCTAAGCATGGTTTTGCTGTGAACTCACCCAAATATAATTCAAATAAGATCAATTATTTCCCGAAAGGCAGGTCACAAAATTGATATACAGTATTGATACGTTTCATTATTGTATTATGCGGGGCTTTTTATGTATATAAATGTAGCTATATAATTCCATAATTCCATTAGACCAATCAAATGATATACACTTATGGAGGGACTTATAGATAGGGATGGTATTCGGTTGGCTTGGTTTAATTTGGTTTGAACACCTCCTGGTTTAAGGGATAAGCAGCTAAACTGTGGTTTAGCCGATAATGTATGTGATATCAGATATCAGATATGCTATAATACGTACGTATGTAGCTTACTACGTATTATAATCAACTTTTTTTTTTTTTATCACTACGTAATTTATAAATTTATAATCTTATAACCGTTAAGAACAAATCCAATAAAAAAAATTATACCTGAATACATAGCAAGTTTATATACAAATATTTCGTATGTAAATGGCTTAAATGCAAGCTTATTTCACATAAATTTATATCTTAAGTTTATTTCTAATCTTAATCCTAATGACAATAAGCGTAAAACTTTAGGAATAATACATGGAATAATTTTATATATACTCTTTTGAAAGACCTAAATAATCAATGCATATGCTATATAAATCATATAATATGTACGTATATGCAACTTCTACTAAACAAAACAAAAACCTATTCATAATCCATTTCATTGTCAATATCAATATCTTCCATATCAATATTATTAATTTTTTCACCAATTTTTTCTGTGATCCAACTTTTTAAGCATAATATTGCCCGGGCAGTTTCAGGATCTAATCTGTTATGTACCTTCAAAATAGTAAGCCCAGCAATTGAAAATATTTCTTCACATGGTATACTAGATGTCTGAATTGTAAGAAAGTCATATGCCATGGTTGATAGAACTGGAAATTGAAGTTTATAAATTTTTCACCACTCCAATGGGTCACAATTTTCATCAATAGGGATAGCAAGATATCTTTCTAACTCATTCCTGACATCAGATTGTATGGTTGTAGTTGGATGAAATTGATTTACAAGATTTCTTAAATAAGAATGAGCATTACTCTGATTTAATGATGAACTTTCTAGAGATAGTTCTGTTAAGTTCAATGAAACCAATGTAGCAGTAGTTGAATAATGAACCATTTTACTACATAATAAAAATATAGCATTATTAGTTTTATCTCCAATTGCAAAAACTGAGCACTTAACATGAGAATTTAATAGTTGCAATTTTAGTAGTATCACTAATATTTAAATAATATTCATCAAATTTGTAGCATATAGAATCAGCTATAATATATAATATAATTTTTGCTTTAAGGTCCAAAAAGTAAAATAAAAATCACCAATTGTTGAAAATGAGGATTAAGAAAGTGCTAAAGTTGCAAAATACATTGGTGCTAAAACTGAAATTGCTTTCTATATAATTTATATCATATTAATTAAATTATTATTAAGTTTATTAAATTATTTAATTATACTATACTCTAATGCTTACAGATATATTAGCTCAGTCATTATTTACAAAAGCTAAATTACCGAAATAATTAGGATGTTAAGCTATAAGCAATTAAATATGTAGAATTCTAATGAATTTTTATATCTATTTCTGGGCCCAAATAAGAAAGATTTTGTGATCTAAATAATCATTACATATCTTCTATTAATAAATTTAATCCTTTAACTTTTTTTATAAAATTTTGAACTTTCTCAATTATTTTACTATATACTTGAAGACCATGTTGTACAGCTAAATTTAGTATATATCAGGAGAATTAAATAAGTGCAAATCTGCAAAAACTTGCAAAAATACAGATTTTTGCAGAATTTTTGCAAAAAACTACAAAATTTTTCATATATTGAAATTTTGTGCTTAACTGTATTTAATTTCTGTAGCTATAGCTGGTGAGTTTGAAGTTTTGCACAGGTTTTCATTTAATTTATTATTTAATTTTTTTGCAAATCTGCACAGAACAGCACTAAAAAATTTCTCCTGATGTATGTGCTCCACAATGTTGATGTGAAAATAAAGAATTACTAAAATTAGCTTCTAACTTATTACCAGGGCCAGTAATTTTCTGTATTGCACGAAATATCACAAAAATCATGAAATTGGCTCATAAAAATAGCGATCATTTTTAAAATTTTGGCCTGAATTTAAGATCTACGTCATTATAATTCTAGCTAATGTCAATTTTTAAATTTTTGGCTGGAATTTTCAAATCATAGTTTTGGCCAACTCTATATAATTCCAGCCAAATCGCAGAATTTTGCAGAATCGATCCTTTATTATAGATGAAATTGACCTATTATTGCCGCAAAAAATCACTGGCCCTGCTCATTACATAACTGATGACTATATACAACTATAACTAGAATATTATCAGTTGTTAATGATATAATTTTTGTAGTTAAAGTATACTTCTTTAATAGATCTATTAATTCTTTTGCTATATTTATACTATATATAATCTGCAAAAGGAATTATATCTAATAAACACTTGTGCATTTGCTAATTACTATCTATCCAATAAATAGTTACTCCTAAAAAAAAATAATTATTTGTGAAAGCCCACATATCAGTTGTTAATGCAACCATGCCTGAAATTTTTTGCAGATCTTTACTTAAATTTGCTTGATGATTTAGAAATGTTCTTGTAATATATAAACTAATATAATGGTGACTTGGTACTTTATAATGTGGATTAAATTTATTTGGCATTTCTATAAATAATTCTTCCTCAGTTACTGAAAATGGTTGTAAACTTTTAATTATCTAGTTGATTAGATATTTATTATATTCAAGCTATTCTTCTCAATTATAAAGAATAATTTCAGTTTTTGTTTTTTGTTTATAAATATTAAAATGATTTTTTTTTACATGTTCTTTTAAAGTTCTAGTAGATGTTGAAGAAGTATATTTAGCTATACAATATTTACAATCTTGTGATATTTCTGATCAATTAAATATTTATCTATTGCTGATTTTCATTTTCTTTTAATATGATGAATAGGTTCACTATGATCAACTTGCAATGAGCAAGTTGATAAAGTTTCTAAATTAGATTCTGTATAGATAAAAGTAGATCTAATGAGTCTATTGAATATATCTTGAACATTTATATCTTGAACATTTATATCTTGAATGTTTATATCTTGAATATTTATATCTTGAATATTTATATCTGGAATATTTATATTTGCAACGTCTATATCTTGAATATTTGTATCCAATATTTTGAATAACAAAACTAAAAAAAAATTTATTAAAATTATATAAACTCAAACAATTATCAAAATACTGTAATAATTGTTTATAATCACTAATAACTTTTGGCTTTAAAAATATATAATTTTATTAATCACTTTCTAAAGCTTTTATTTCGCTAATTATACTCAAATGCTAACTTCTTTATTACTTTTAATGTTAGTATTTTTAATATTAATAACGAACTTTATTATTCTTATATACGTATCAATTTTATTTTTTTATTGTTGCAATTGTATATATATATTATATTTTTTACATATATATGCATAATTATTTAATAATTAAACTGAAAATAATTACTATCTCTATGTGTAATACAACCAAAAAATGCAATTCAGTGTTATAATAATAACTATAGACTATTATTTGGTGATGACTATAATATAACTATGTGGAGGAATTTTAATTAAGGTAAAAATTGTTGGCATTTATGAATATTATACGAATAACAAATCTAAATTTGAAAGTAATATATTTTCAGTAGATAAATATGAATATTCCAGATCAGTATAAAATTCTAAAAGTTTATGCTGATTAATTCACTGAATAAATTGCTTTACCAATATTTTTTGAATAATAATTTATTATTATAGTTTAATATATAACTCTGTTAACTTTTTTCCATTGTAAAAATTAACAATAAATTAGTAATTTTTTTATCTAAAACAAAATTGTTCCATTTAATCATAATGTTTATTTTCTTTTAAATTTTAATTTCATATACTTTTGCAAAACTAAAGTTATAAATATACAGATTTTAATATATAATTCAAAAAATATTAGTTATTTTCTGAAAAGCAGGTCACAAGACTGAATATTGATACTCTTTATTGTCATATTATGAGTTTAGAGCTAGGCTATCCAATTACGAAAGTATTTATATATTGAACCAGAATATAATTATTCAAATATATAATTTTAATAATTATAAATCAGGTTATATACTAGTTATATTGTGTGATGATATTTATTAATAATTTAGATAGTACTAATTAATTAATAGCTTTTATATTTCTAAATTAATTCAAATAAAATAAAATGAGAAGTATCAATTACTTGGTAGCAAATATTTATAAAATTAAATAACTTGAACAGTTTATTTCAAAGATTACAGTTTATAAATGTTTTGCTTATAAATATATCTGATAAAATAATAGTAAATAATGTACTTATTCTCTTAATTAAGTTGTATAATAGTAAAATAATATTATATATCTGATCAAATAATATGAACTTATAGAAGGAAAGTGTATGTGAAATTGAATATCACATAGACTAAATAATCAAAACTATGTTGATTATATATATATATATATATATTTTTTTAATCTTCACGGGTTTTGCCGTGGCTTGCTTTTTATTAAAATGTGTATAAGAACTATATACATTTAATTTA